TATCTATCTATCTATCTATCTATCTATCTATCTATCTATCTATCTATCTATCTATCTATCTATCTATCTATCATCTATCTGTAAGGCCACAAGCAGGGGTGAAATCCAGCAACTTCTGACAGGTTTTGGAGAACCGATAGTGGAAATTTTGAGTAGTTTGAAGAACCGGCAAATGCCACCTTTGGCTGGCCCCAGAGTGGGGTGGGAATGGAGATTTTGCAGTATCCTTCCCTCAACATGCCCACCAAGCCATGCCCACCAAGCAACTCCATGCCCACCAAGCCACACCCACAGAACCAGTAGTGAAAAAATTTGAATTTCACCACTGCCACAAACTGAACATATTGTATGTTACCACAGTTAGTTTCTGAAAACTTTGTCTCTTGCAAATACTGTGTTTTAAATTAACCAGTTAATTTTTGTTGATTTATTTCATCATCTTCATTCAACTACCCCATAATCCCTTGCGGGGTGGAATCTGGGCAACTGAATGGAGCTAGCAGAGTGTTTTAATGGCCAGATGCCCTTCCTGTTGCCAATGCAGAGTTTTGTTTAGCAAATATATTCTCAGTGTACCCAGAGAGAAATAACTGCCTCTACCTCAAGAGCTCCACCTGTAGGCCACTGCAACACTCCATCTCTAATTCTTTCATATTAATGTATAATATAATGTATAATTAATACATAATAAATATGCAGCCTCATAAATGAATTCTACCTTCTAAGTATAGTAGTTTCTTTCAAAGTCTTGGGAGACTTATACATTGGTAAAATAAAGCAATGAATCTTACATTTCTGTTTTTCTTTACTCACCTGATTGTTATAGGCATCAGGTGCCAGTTTCTTGTAAGTGGGGGCCATCAGAGTTGACAAAGTTTGCAGATTGGATTCTAGCTTTTCTTCCTATTTTTTTAAAAAGAACTTCACTCATTAACAGCTAATTACTACTTTTAGCTAATAGCTTTAATTCTGAAAACACTTATGGTTATTTCATTCAGTATAATGTGATTCAACAGATCATAAAACTATTTCCCAAGAAGAGCATGGGGCAAAATGATGGCTGTTTTCAAATATCTGAAGGACTTTTGTGTAGATAATGAAGGCTGCTGCTGTCCTCCGTTGTTCCAAAAAGCAATAGAATCAGTGAATAGAAACGGCAGAAAAGTAGATTCTGGCTTAAAATTAGAAAAATGTTCAGCAATATGACAGATTGGCTTGGGGAAATAATGGGATATCCACTAGTAGTATTTAAGCAAGATGTGAATCAACATCTGTCAGGAATGGAAAAATTGAAAATAACTGCACTGGAAGTGGGTTTGAATATGTTTATTTGAATTCTAAATAACGTGATTCCATATTAAACCCAACTGATCCAACTTACGTATTGTTTCAGTTCTTGGAATTCTTTAGATAGAAGAGCAATGTTTAAAACTTACAAATAAAAACAACAAAAATTTAGAGTTGGAGCGGAATACCCATACTAAATAAAACAAAAATGGACTATTGGCACTGCCAGTCTTTTTGTACCAAATCTCATCACAATAATTTATCTTTTTCTTTCTTCCCCCTCTCTATCCCCTTTCCTCCCTCCCTCTCCCTTCCTTTCTCTCCAGGAAAAATAATTGAAGGACCATCCTACCTCTTTTGGATCATCGCCTAATAGTTTAAACTTTCTTGGAATCTTGCTTCTGGCAAATTTGCAACCATTATAGTACATACTCCAGGAACAACCAAAAGAAAAAGAAGCACCACAAGTCTCAGGATCTAGACCTTGGCACGCACAGGTTCGTCTAAGGGGAAAAAAAATAGGAAGGGCTATCAGTATACTTCCAATATACCATACCTATTTTAAAACAGTTTCTTCATCATATATTTATCACATATTTATCACATATTGCCTCTGATTACTATTGAAGTATAGCAGTTTTAAATTAAATAAGTGTAGTTTAGTGATGAACAGACTGTGGTAGGCATGGTGAGGCACAGATTCACCTCCAGCTCAGTCATGGAAGCTATCTGGGTAACTCTGCACCAGTCATTCTCTTTGCCCTAATGTATGCGATTGTTGTGGGAAAAAATGGAAAGAGAGAGCACTATCAATACCTGAGCTAAAAGCAGGATATACTTCTAAATTAGAGATGAGGAACAATGGCTCCTTATGACTTAACAGAATAACAGAGTTGGAAGGGACCCTGGAGGTCTTCTAGTCCAACCTCCTGCCTTGGTAGGAAACCCTACACCACTTCAGACAAATGGTTATCCAATCTCTTCTTTAAAACTTCCAGTGTTGGAGCATTCACATCTTCTGGAGGGAAGTTGTTCCACTGATTAATTGTTCTAACTATCAGGAAATTTCTCCATAGTTCTAGGTTGCTTCTCTGATTGATTAGTTTCCACCCATTGTCCTGCTTTCAGGTGCTTTGGAGAATAGCTTGACTCCCTCTTCTTTGTGGCAGACCTGAGATATTGGAACACTGCTATCATGTCTCCNCTCCAAAGCATCTGAGGGTAAGACAAGAAGCAATGGGTGGAAACTAATCAAGGAAAGAAGCAACCTAGAACTAAGGAGAAATTTCCTGATAGAACAACTAATCAGTGGAACAACTTGCCTCCAGAAGTTGTGAATGCTCCAACACTGGAAGTTTTAAAGAAGAGATTGGATAACCATTTGTCTGAAGAGGTGTAGGGTTTCCTGCCTGGGGAGGGGGGGTGGATAGAAGACCTACAAGATCCTTTCCAACTCTTATTATTCTATTCTATTCTATTCTATCCTATCCTATCCTATTTTTCATTTATTAAAAAAAACCCTGCAACCTGGGTTGGTTTCTTCCAAATATCAGAAATTAGAGCCAACTTAGTATTTCTACAGAAATAAATGGCATTATCTTTTTTGTTGAATAAATATTTGCTAATAATACATTTAATAAATAATAAAGTCAATTTTTCATGTTTTTCTTCAGTTGTGTCACCTTTACTTTTATATGCCACTTGAATGAGGATAAAATATTGATAGGTCCACATATGTTAAAATTGAAAAAAAAATTTTTTACATGAGGTGTACTTCTTCACATGCATATTCACATCAGCATACAGGTTGCTAATCATTGCTGAATAGGGAATGGTCTTTTTGGTTTAATCCTAATAAACTTCCATTAAATCAAAACAAAAGTTAAAATATGTCAATCAATAAGGGAATGATTGATTGAAATATTTCAAATTTGGTGATCAATCTAGAAGTAGCACTTTGGGAATATATCTAGCAACCAATCTTCATTGGCACTCATGCTTAAGAGAGATCAGTATTGTATTCCTTTTACATTGCTTTGGCAAATGATTAATTTCAGTTTAGCAAATGAATGGATTTCTCAGCTCTCTTCAGCCAGCCCACCTAAGAGAAGGAACTTAAAACAAAGCTGAAAGAAGAAAATGGCAAAGCACTTCTCTATAGTGTTCGAGAAAAGTATATGTAGAAATTTGGATACTGTATAATGAAATTGTCATGTCAGAAGAATACTTAATGGGAAGAATGAAGCTTCAAAAATAGGTTTAGAAATGACAACATGGACATACCAAGGAAGTCTGTTTATCTCAAGTGCTGACACTGACTTCCTCTTTTTTAGAATGACACATATAAATGGAACATATGAGAAAAGAAGTAGAAACGGAGGAAATCTTGCAGAATTGCCAGAGTGGAAATTAAGCATATCTAATTGGATATTTTAGAAATGTGAAACTTGTGGATCAGAATATTTAATTAATTTTTTGTATACTACAAATACAATGACAGAAGGCATTAAAAAAGTCTGTGTCAAATACAAAATGTGTTAAATGCTGATACAACGCCTATGATAATATGCTGGCTTATAAAGCAGTTCCTATATTAGAGACTGTAGTTTGCATGTAATGGGATAAGCGAGCTTGGGCTACAAAAGGGTTTGTACTAATGGCATATTGGCCCAAACTGGTTAATTTTCTCCATTACCATTAGTGGAGAATGCTGTACAAGAAATAGATATGACTAAAATAACCTTGACTACACATTCTTTGTTTAACTAAAAATGTTATGTCAATGTTTTAATTAAGGACCAAATGGAAGTGGAGAATCTATTATCCCAATAAATAATAACTATGGCATAGTTATATTGCGTGTCTATAAAACTGTGAAAAATAAGGAGGATATAATTGATCTGAAAGAAGAAAGTTTGATTTTGTTTGATCAAAGTTGATATATGCAGACAAAGGAAGCCATAGGCTTAACTAGGAATGAAAGAACAAAATATTGTATCAAAATGTAATTCATCTAGATTGTTGTGTATATGGAAATATGAAATCTATAGATTGGTGACAATAAATGATAGTAGTGGAAGAATCAAATATGGGTTTTGGAAAAAAAATGCAACATTTTGGATAAATAGAATCCAGAAGAAATTGGTGAGGATTTAATGGATAGTATAAGATAAGAAAGTATAGAAAAATATGGGTGATTCAGGGACTCAAAAATAAATAATAGTATCTATTTGGTGAGTATTTTAAAGACATTGTAGAGAAATGAATGTAAATATAAAATGGTCATTGAGGTGATTGTTTATGAGAAAAAATGAGTGAGAGAAGGATATAAGACTGATAAAAGGTTCTAAATATGGGATGAATCATATGTTGACAATATTAAGAACAGATCATGGGACAAATAGGCATGGAAGAAAAAGATGACATCAAACTAAAGTGAACGTAGAATGAATTTATGAAAAGAAAGTATGATATATACTTAATATATCAGAAGATGAGTAGAGTAGAAGAGGGAAATATGTATATATAAGAATGATTGCTGGAAAAATTAGGACAAAAGAAAGGTACTGAATAATATAGAAAAAAGATGACAAGATATGTCTGCTGGAATAAAAAATTGTGATAAAAAATGAACTACTTGAGACATGCAGATGATAGCACTTTATCAGCCCAAGTGAGAAAGATGCAGAAGAGTCCATTATGAAAGAAAATGTAGAAAGTGAAATATCTGAGTTAATGTTAAATATTAGAAAAGCAAAAATAGCGTTAACCAGAATGCTAAGTGAACTTACAGTTGATGGTGAAGAAGTGAAGATGGTAGATAGTTTTGTTTTCTTGGATTCAAGAATAGATAAAGATGTACAGTGCAGTGAAGAAGTAAAGAGGATATTAATCCTAGGGAAGAAGGCAATTACAAATTTAGACAAGGTTATGAAGGATAAGACTTTGTATGAGAACAAAGATCAGAATAGCTAAAGGAATGGTCTAATATAATGTATGACTCTGAAAGATGAACAGCAAGAAACAGCAAGAAAAATCCTTTGGATTGTGGAGTTGGAGCTCTTACTAAGAATACAATAGCCAGTAAGAAGAACAAATTAGCTCTTGAGAAAATGTATCTTGATTGCTCCCTTGAGGCAATCATCAGCAAACAGAAAGCCACAAAGGCTAGGCATGAGATGTAAAGAGATGATGAATTAGCAAAACGGGACTATGTGTGGCAAAGTTGAGGGGAAAATGGGAAGGAAAGACAACAGATAAAACAGATTATTATTTTCTTCAGTCCCAGCATGTATCTTGGAGGTTGCCTGAATACGTTCCTACAGCTTACTTAACAAGAATTTTCAGAAGGGGTTTGCCATTGTCTCTGAAAGTTGAAAGTGGCTGAAAGTGATTAGCCTTAGATCACTGAGCTGGCTTTTTGCCTAAGATGAAACTCATACTCTCCCAGTTTCTAGTTGGATGCCTTAACTGCTACATTATGCTGGATTTCCAAAGGGATGTATGACAAATGGGATGAATACATGACTGTAGAGGACATATTCTTTATGAGTATGTGGAATGCCTTTCAAAGGGCTTCAATCTATTTTTTTATTAAAAAGTTTTTTTTATTAAACACACATTAAAACATTGGACACAGTGTAAACATCCTGGCAATGTCTTTGCCATACATACCACAATATAAAGTTAAAAATTATAACCACCATGCTTATTTACAATTGGTCTATTCCGTATTTACAGATATAAAGATATCGTATTTCCATCCAAGTTGCTTTGTTCTTGCATTATACATTTTCACTGTTATGAATTAATCATTGCTTATTTTGGGTCTTTCCTTTTTTGTTCCAACCAATGATAAAATTTATCCCAGATCTTATAATATTCTGATTCGTCTTTGTTCTTCAATTCCCACATCAATTTATCCATTCCAGCACAAATTAGAATTTTCCCAATTACTTCCTCCTCTTGTGGAATTTCCCTTTTTTTCCAGTTTTGGGCAAAGACCATTCTTGCTGCCGTAATAATATGTATTATTAAGTAGATTACCCCCTTGTTATGTTTATCGTTTATGATTGCCAAAAGAAATAGTTCTGGTTTGAATTCTATTTCCTCTTTGGTTATCTCTATCAGCTACGTTTGAATTTTCCACCAATATTCTTTTGTTTTTTGGCATGACCACCACATATGGTATTACATGCCTGATTCATAATCACATTTCCAACAATTTTGCGCTAAATTTCTAAACTTTTTGGCTATTCTCGCGGGTGGGAGATGCCACCTATAAAACATTGCCAGTGTTATTTTCCTATTCCCTTCCCATAGTTCTTGCAAAGGGCTTCAATCTTGTATGTCTGAAAAAAATAGTACTAACTTTACAGCAAAGTTTCTGTGGACTCCAATGCATACATTCTGCAATACACAAGCCAATCAAAACTGTATATTTTAAAGTTTCCAATTTCACTGTATTTTACTGTACTAAAAACAAAAGAACAAGAGAGCAAACAGGAGCAAGGAATTTAAGAATTAACCTTGTAAGGTAAAGGTAAAGGTTCCCCTTGCATATATGTGTTAGTCGTTCCCAACTATAGGGGGTGGTGCTCATCTCCGTTTCAAAGCCAAAGAGCCAGTGCTGGCCGAAGACATCTCCGTGGTCATGTCGCTAGTATGACTAAATGCCAAAGGCACACAGAACACTATTACCTTTCCATCAAAGGTGGTCCCTATTTTTCTACTTGCATTTTTACATGTTTTTGAACTGCTAGATTGGCAGATGCTGGGACAAGTAACGGGAGCTCACTCCATTACAGAGCACTAGGGATTCGAACCACCGAACTGCAGAACTTTCTGATTGACAAGTTCAGCATCTTAGCCACTGAGCCACTGCGTCCCCAAATTAACCTTGAGAACCTCATTTTAAAAAAATTAAAAGCCTAGAGGATTTGCATTCATACTGATGCAATATTTCACAATTTTCCTTGGTAGCCATCATGTGCCAACTTAATAGAAATAGAGATTATGAAAAATGAGGAACTTAATGCAAGAGGTTTGTTGTGCACGAGCAATGGCTTGGTGAATCACTGACTTACCAATGTACTACCATTCTGCATATTGTGTAGGTCTCTATGAGCATGAGCACAAAAATCCAAGCAGGCAGTGACCCCTGAGAATGGACGACCTTCTTTTAAACCCAGACGACATTCAGAAGCTCTGTTTTCATGTTCAATCTAGACACAAATATATTTATATCGATTAACTCCAAGGTTAACTTCAGACCAACAATCAAGTAAATAATACCCCAATTAAGGAACTGCAAAAGAACCATCAGTAAACAACAAAGAATCTCTAAGACCACCCACAAGCAAGTCACCAGAATATAAACTGACAGCAAACAACATTTCTTACTACCATTGATGATGTTACCTTGTTAGGGTAATGTAACGTCAGCAAGAAAATAAGCAAGCTCAGAGAGCACCAAGACCCCTTATATTTATATTATTTCATTTACCAACTGTGTGTTACCAAATTGCTCTTGCAAATAGACTTTTTAAGTTCTGAAGTTGTAGCACCGCAGGGCTATAGCCAAGCTGGGAACAAATACAATAGTTTGAAATTAGCAGTGCTCATTCGTCTAAAATTATTAGCGGGCATTAATAGGCTGCAGTACCGTATTTTCACCCATATAACCCGCCCACGCAAATAACCCGCACACGCATATAACCCGCGGGTTTTCCGGATCGTGTAAAATGTTTCCCGTATACCCCGCCCACGCATATAACCCGCCCACGCATATAACC